TATATATATGCTGTAACGTCTCCTCCAACCTTGCCCTGCATGTGCAAAAAGAACACGAAAAGATAGACGGTGGTCAGATATACGCCAAATATGGCCAAACCATTGGAGGCGAGGTAGAACGATTATTTCTTTTAGTGAACGACTATCCGCACCCAGCACACAACGACGAACATCGTCATTGCTCACCCGATGTTCCCATCAGACATGGGAAATGCTTCGGAGACATCGGTGGTCGAATACAGAAAGTCAATTAGCATCTTCCGCTCGGAGAGGCCAGGTCTCGCAACCGTAAAGCAGAATGCTACGAACCGCGGAGATGTACACTCTTCCCTTCAGGTGTAGTCGCATGCCATGGCTGCATCACAGGTGCTAGGTTGAAAAAGCCGCTCTAGCTTTCGCTATTCGTGATGTGATCTCCTCACCAGTACCAACACCAGCCACGATCAAATTAACCGAGTACTTAAACCTCCCAACTACTTCCGGCTAATCACCGCGGAAGGTGAGTGCGGGTGCGGGCTGGAACAGTCTTGAACAAGCACTTTGCACTTTGATGGTGCAAAGCACATACCATATACAGATGCCTCTAACCCCTAGCTGTTAAAACCCTGTTGAACTGCCTGTGCTTTGTCAGCCAACAAGGCGATGCCATCGGCACGCGTTCCCGGAAACTGTTTGAGAGATATGTGAACGTTAAGTGACTGTAAAAATTGTAATTTGAGTGCTTGTTAATCAACCACCAATGTTCTGGAGATTGTAGGTTTTTTTCCATCTTCACCTCCTGTTGAGACAACCCTCACATGTGAAAAACAGCATAGCCTGTATGGATAGTGTGTAGGTATCAAAAACAGTTGATAAGCTCCAAAAGCAGTAGTTTTACATTCCGACCTTTTCCCCCGACCGTACTTAAAAATCTTGCATGTAGTTTCTTTCCAACATCAACTAATGTCAAAACGCCTCCAAATTGCTATTGCACAGAAGGTTGTTCAATAATATGTGGATATAATGCTTACAATAATGTTGTTTTTACATACTCTAGTCTAACCGATGAGCAATCTCGAAAGAATTGGGAAGAATATGGCAATCCAGACGGACCCACTGGTAAGAAACAGCGAACTGTAACGTAATCTTGATTTTCACAAGAAATCATTCATTTTACGTTATATATATATATATATATATATATATATATCACGTTCCAGTTCAGACTGTGCCAAACAATTCGCGGTACAATGAGCTTTATAAAAAGAAAAACGTTCCACGATTTGCATGTGGGCTGAATACCGCCAGGTTGCCCAGGCCAATGCAGATTTCTTTACGTTATATATCCAGTGAAATGCATTTTAGGACGTCCATTTTTCGAATGTCTCTTCTACTGCTTCACCTAAGTTCGTTATTTTTGAAATGCCAAGAGTTAACATCATGGTCGCAAAAGGTGCGTAACTATTTCTGATTTCTAGTGGACCATGATCGTTTTATTGAAGGACATGTGTTTTGGGGTGCAAAATGCCATCACCAGTCAGCTGATATTGGCGCATTTGTTTTCAAAATTATTTCACGAATTATATTGAGTCTGTGATAAATTTATGCTGTAAAACCAGAGATGTCATTTTCGTTCATCAGTTAGCATAAGCATCTACTGTAGGTGTAGCGGTAAGACGTTCACTCTCCTCAGTCATCTATATGCCACTATTTGATTTATCAGGAGCACCAACAAAACGGCCATGTGCATTGTACCCATTGAGTGAAAACTGCAATCCATTGAGGGCCGGTGCCCAGTTCATCGGATCCTACACCCTTTGGACGGAGTCAAACATTCAAGGTGCCCAATACACCTTGATGCCAAACAAGCCAGCGACCATTACTACAACCAGAAAAGTGTGGTTGTGGTTCGTACGCCTCTTGGTTGGTTTGTAATAAGGGTTTTTGGCCAACTCCCCTAGGTGCACTGCCATTGGTCCACCGACCCGGATGTCGGCTCTTCGTCCTCTGTCTTTGGTGGGAAAACACTGCCAGGAGAAAGGCAGTGAGTAGGGCTTCCTCAATAGAGGCTATTCAAAACGCTTGGTCGAATGGGAGTATTTCGCGAGGTGCAAGGGAAGGGTGACCAGCCACAACCCTAGACACCCACCCCCGACAATACTAAGGATTTAGGAGGATAAAAACCGGTTTGCGCCACTGAACATCAGGTCTTCGTGACTTTGGGGTCCTTCCCCTCTGCTGTTCATCACGCAAGTGTGTAACAAAAAAAAGGATAATGGTGGAGCTTGAGCTCAGGGTATCGTAAACTAAGGTTGATTATACCGCCACAATAATTCACTGTAACGCCACTGATCCAATCCGGAAAGTCACTTGCAAGTTACTTTTTGATTATTGTTAAATAAAGGGCTAAATTCCACGTTGTGTTACTGTCCTCTTCCCGATTTTCTTGAGTGCCATTTAATCCGGCCGTAAATTCCCTGCTAGTTGCGAATGGTTTGATACATTTAATTAAGTAGTTTCATTCTGTTCTCTTTCTGTTCATTGTTATAGTTGGCTGGCCATCCTGGAAACAATAAAACTGTCACTGTACAGCGCAAATTATGTAAAAGACGCCTGTCATTGCGCATGACGCTTGACTAAAGTCATCAATTGGACCGGTTTGAAGCACCCAAATAGGAAATTCGAACACGGCTTATTCGGTCCTGTCCTCTAGCCAAAGTTGACATCTTTTAGTCAGATCATGAACAGAAACCTTCTGTCTTCTGCTAACTGTGATTTTTCCGATTTCGCACACTGCAGTGTGATAAACAGTGTACGAGGTAAGACGCTTCTTCACATAGACCTACTGTTTAGTTGTGTAGGCCGGCGATCTAAGTTCCAGGGCTATGATTAGTGAACTTCGTATGACCTGAATTGGGTAGGCTTAGGTTCACGCGGAGCTATAGTGAAGCTGCCTACCATCAAATTTGGTACGATTTTGACGCAGGACTATGGAACCCGAAGCACGCCGGTGGCGGCGATTTCGATTGATGGAGATGCAAAATTTCCAAATTCGTTCACCTACTTTCTCTACTTTCGTGACTGCTGATGCTAAGAGTAGGAGAGGTTCTGATGTTTCATAGGTCTTATACATAACACTTATCTTACTGAGATAAGTGCTTTGTCACGAGGAGAGTGTACCTTGATGTGATGTGATGGCTTGCACCTACCTACGATCTGATGAGCAACACAGGATCCCTTTTGTCAAACCAGAAGACTCTATCATGCCTGGGAGGTCGGAGGGTAAAGGTCAGGCAAAGTTCAGTTTCCTAGTCATCCAGGATAGCATTTGGATTCGAGTTAGCACATCCCGTGACGACAAACGCCATTCAGTAAGTCAGCGTGGCGTAGGCATTGCACTCATTAATGAGGCCGAGGCGTCGCTAATCGATCGTATCCCCGGCAACAGTCGCTTACGTACGATACGACTTCAGGGTTCAATCGGCGTCCGGAATGGAAACAATACCAAAAGTTATTTGTTCATCACCTCAGTATATGCACCGACCAATTGCAGTTCTGACGCACAAAAAGACGAGTTCCGTGACAGACGCACCGAATTCATTCGATTGAACCGAAGATTCGATATAGATGTGCTCGCTGGTGATTTTAACGTGCATGTTGGTAAACTGGGCGCATCGGAAGCTTGCCTTGGCGGCCGTTGTGCTCTGACCTACCAACGAACAGATAACGGCGATCGACAGATCACAGATCACCATTGGTTCTTGTCCAGTACCAATTTCTGACAGCTCTCAACGGAGCTCCAATTCAACTGGTATGCCAACTGAAATCGACAACATTGAAGTTAGTTACCGTTGGCGTGGCTCAGAACAAAAATGCAGGTCTTATTGGACCACCTTTTTTATTACACATATTTGTGTGGTGAACAGCAGACGGGGCGAACCCCATAGTCACGAAAACCTACTGCTTTGTCATGGAAGTCTGTAACCTAAGCCCCGGGACGCAGAGTAGCGTGCCACATTGGATTGCCTAATCGTTTGAAGTCCTCTTCTAAAAGTGGAATATATATATATATGCCATAGCAAGTACACTAAGTCATTGGATGTTGACCTACTTGCATGCGCATCTTTTCGTTTCTCACCTTTACAGCTGCACATTTCGGCATCGCGTTACCAAAATGGATGATCCAGAAAGAAAATTTCTACGTGGTGAGCATGATTTTCGATTTACTGATCACCAGTTATCTGTCCCTCCATATTGAATGCTTTTATCGTCTTTTCCCGAATAAACTGGACATTGGACTGAGGGAATAGAGATATTCTCTGATTAATCCACCGATCATGCGTTTGTCATCATTCTACCATCAATCTTCAGTTCTTTGGGTGTACTTGTAGCATATATTGACGCGTACCGTAATCTTTCATTCCCCTTTTATTTTTTTTACAGGTTATCGGCGCGTACGTTCTTCTGTTCATGTTAGTGTTGCCCATTACTGTGGTAAGTTCTGTGTAAATCAAAAAATACGGTTCAATGTTTCTATTTTCTAAATGCCCTTGGTCAATGATGTTTATGCCCGATTGAGCAATTGGTTCAATTCTTCAATTCTGGTCCCGTCCCGCAGTTCGTAAGCACCTATACTCGTGGCCTTCACGACTCTGATGGCCAATCTGCATTATTCGTAATCATCGAATCATTTGGCTTGGCGATAACGAGCGGAATGCCTGAAGACCTTCGATGAACTTCGCTATTTTTATAGAATACCTATAAAGTGATTTTTATTGCAGCAAAGTTCGCATGGTATTTGTACACATTCACTTGCTCTTAATGGTCATGAATTTGATCATCAGTCACGACCACTCATGCGCTCTAGTTTGCTGTCTACGAAATATACAATTGACATGTGACATTGCATTTTTAACAGAACCTTGATTCAATGTCTTAAGGACAGTTGAATAAGATCAACTAAGACAAATGCTCCCCTGGTTTCTTCATACCCCTTTGCTAATTCGTGGACTAACCGCTTGTACGCTTCTTCTAACGGTACCCAAAAGTCATAAGCAGCATTTGGTACTCAAGGCAAAGCACACAGGCAAGCAGTTTCAGTTTCAGTTTGAACAACCATTAACCATGAATATTCGTGCGCCGGTTTTGGTTGCTGTCTTTTGGCTGCCCATTGGGATGAAGAATACGAGAAGAAAGGAAAGTTGAAAGTGGATTCGAAAGGAAAATGGAGAAGTTCAGTGGACTAAGATGAAAGAAATTGAAGAGATGCACGAAGGCACGACACCCAGCAGGCAAGCAGGAGTAGCAGGCGTTCAGTTCATCCCCGAGGGTTCCCGTTTGTTGATATTTTGGTTAAAGGATGACTAGCTATACTTAACTCATCCGCCAGATCCTATCATTTTTCATATGATGTTGCAGCCAGGTTAGAGTTTTACTTTAAAGACAACGGCGGTCTAGTGCTATAAGCCGTTAGTGATCGTCAATTCGAAAGATCCGGGTCTCAGAAACTTAAAGCTAAACACTTCCAACAGTGATATTGTATATTCGTTCTTTTAAAGATAACCGGATGTTGTGGCGGCACCGCAATCGCCACTAACTTTTTCCATGTGCAATATGATCTCCTCTCCAATGTCAAAGTCACCGTTAGTTAGGAGTTTACTCCCGACGGGAACAATAGTTTTGACTAGATCCAGCCGATCGCGAATAGTCTCCTGTCAATCGTAACAAGTTACTATGCATCTGGTTAAAGTAATATTAATATCAAGAGCGATGGAAATGTTTGTGATAACCGACAGTGAGCACTCGACAGCTGTTTCGTTCTTTTTGAGACTCGTCAGCAGTGCGTACTTTTTGTGTCCCTATCAGGACTCAAACCGCGATCAGTCGGGTCGGGACATCAAGCCCTTAACCCTGAGCTACACGGTCGACGGTCATCGCCTTGTGCGAATAGCTCAATCAATTTAGAGTATCAAACTTGGTGCCTCTGAACAATCCAAGCCTGGTACTCTTAACACGAATATCATTTTGAGCTTTCTCAATCAACAAGCGGTTAGGGCTACTAGGAGTCTTTTATCAAAGCAGGTGATGTCGACACTAGATCAGAGACACCATGCCCCTAGGAGAGCTCATCTTCACTGGGTAGTTGACTGGAAAATTAGGTCATAATCTGTGGTAAATATGAATAAGTTCGTGGTTCAACCACAATGAAAAACGGTCATATACCCTCACTCAATCTGATGTACTGACAAAAGTGCCTCAAGAATGCAAATAGAATTATCGGCTAGCCTACTCATTAAATTTTACACAGCGTAGTCTTGTCACCTTCAGTTTTTCAAGAAACGCCGTAGTAGTTGGTCTTTGAAATCGGTGGCGATCCTGAAGGAACGACATGAAAGTGAGCATTTGATGAAGAAATCCACTGCTGGCACTTTTGTTCTGCCCGTGTTCATTCTTCATACGTTTCAGTTTCATAAATTCTGCACTATTTTTCTCCATTTTTCCTTATTGTTCGGGCAAGCCTTACCCACTGGAAGTATATACATAGAATTATTTACGCAATTCATTCCCACAGGAACAAAGAAAAGTATCGCTCAAACATTGGTTAAAGGTTGTTCGTTATGCCCAATCACATGTCTCCCCTTCATTCGGTCATCAGTTTCCGAGATCACTTTTGCCTGTTTCTGTCCTCATTCTCTGCATTCTCTTCCCCTGGATATGTTCAGGGCACATGGTGGTACAAAACTATGCGTTTCAGCAACAACAATGTCCTATTGGACACAATTCGCTATTTCTGTGTCACTTTTATGCGTTCTCCCTACATGGCTATGCCCCGGGTGATCAAAGTCTTGTCCAACGCGTACGAATTCAATCCGGCATTCAACAAGGAGATTGTGTGCCGTCCCAGTGACAATATTGAACTACCCCCGGTGAGTGAGATTCCATTCGGTTGTGTTTGCCTGTTGTTCGATGACCTGGTTCTCATCGACTCACACGGATTTACGTGATTCTTGTTCCTCGCCTTTCTGCTTGTTTACTGATCTGGTGATCTGGTGACTTGTAGACTGTAATAGAATATTCTTTAGTGGCGTTTCAATAGGTTTTCGTTAATCGTATCGTTGTCATCAGAATCATCATGGTCAACGTTCGTAAACCGGTTTTCTGTTGTAGTTCGCTCACTTCAGGCACATAGAGGAGGCCAGCAATAACAATCATTGCACTGACCTACACGAACAACGCTCCTGTACGGTGAATTTCACTCCTCGATGGTGATACCTGATGACACCCGGAATATGACTAATCTTATTTGTACTAAAAATCTGGATCATTTTGCTATCTGAATGGACCATATTCGACGCATCTCATGCTAATTTGTGTACAATTTATGGTTTTCCAGTCTTCTGTTCAGAGATGGAGCCACGGAACTCATTACCATACTCAGCTGTCCCGGTGTTTTTTATCTTTACATTACCACGAAAGCAGTTGACCTTGATTTGTTTTAGTCCCGAGGGATCATGTTATTAGGATAGCAAATTCAAGTACCAACGGTCAGTGTTGTCTCCAGCGTTTTTGTACGGCTTCACTAATCAGCAATTTAACTTGATGCTATCCCCAAACAGACCGGTGTTTTGGGAGCGAATAATAACCATATTTATTTGTTACTCCCGTTTTATTTTCTAAACAGTTGTATTAATTTTCACGGATTGGTAAACGGCCTATCCAAGGTTAGCCAGTGAATCAAATAGGCTACTAAATGTTCATGATTTACTGGAAGAACGTGAGTAAAGAGCAGCGTGCCGCTGGAATTGAGAGCAATATCCATCCAGTTTTTTTAATTAAAGATTAAATTTTCTGTATCGCCGGAATTGTGCAGCTTTCAGAACCCATCCACAGCAGGTGTACTTTTTGAGTCTTTGCTGGAACGGAACTCCGAAGTCCTACTTGGTCGGCGGCCAGCAGATTGAACGTGTTAGTCCACGTGGACCCACGGATACAAGGGGTAGTGTAGTGTATTTAGATTTGATTAAGGTTGGTTTATTCTCCCCTCGTTTAAATCGTAACAGTTTCTCCACCTTATCCCAATTTCCGGCATTCACACAATGAATTCTCACTGCTATCGAGACCGAAATAGTCGCCCGATGTTCTTTGCCAGCTACTGCACAAGCAAAATGCGCTAAGCACAAAGAATAACCAAACTACAGGGGAGTGAACCACACACGAAAGAACTTTTCACAGATCCCGATCTCCGCAAATTCCCATGGATTGTATAAAAACGCGTTTTATTCCATTTGAAACAGCTATCCATCGTACCGTGTAGGTAAGTAACAGTGGTTGTGAAGAAAATCGAAAATAAATCAGGGTGGATCTAGGAACAGGATTATGCTCGCTATCGTGATTAGAAAAATGTCCACTGGTTAAGTTTAATTATTGTGTACACAGAGCAGATAATTCCTACTAAATGGCCATTTCAACCGTGATATCTCGAAAGCGATAAATTGGCATCTGTTGAATCCTGTTGAATCTACCGTGCTAGCTGACAGATCATTGCTTGAGTTCCCGAGGAGCCGGAGCTAAAACAGGACTGAGACTGGAGTTTCAGCTCAATCTGAAATTAAATGTGGCTTGTGTCCTATGTTTCTCCCTGGTGACCAGTTCCACCTCACGGATAATTAAGTTTTATAGATAAAGAATTTTCAGAAGGACATTAGGTAAAATATATATCTAGTTGCATCCCTAGTTCATCTCGTGCTATTACTTCTTGACAATTGATCGTTGTTTTGTGTGGCGATCAAGGTTCGCATGCATTAACAAACAGTTTAGACAGTTCATTGTACTGAGACCGGTTTCCTTGAAGAAAAAGTCGCCAAGTCCTCCAACATCGTCGTCGGTTTTCTGCCTTCACTCACTTAATGGCTGACATTCACCGAAATAGTAAAATCGGTCCTTTTCATGTACGATGCAACCGACAAACTCATCCGGTGGCGTGCAGCTTCCCTAGTCATGAGATTATTTTTATCTCCGGTGTACAAACTGGGGTGTATCACACTAAGTATCAGTCCAATAAAGGCTGAGTGAGGACAAATATGGAGGGTTGGAGTGGGTCATACTCCCGAATGGAGTGAGTCACAAGCGCATATGAGAGCGATGCGTAAGCAAATGAAGCTGTTTGTGAATTCCTGTTTGTTCGTTCCGAAGTCCGGTTCTTTGCGATTCGTGGATTAATGAACCGTATCTCTACTCAATTAATTCTTGCCGGTGGACGTGTCAGCACCATGTAGGTTATCCATAGAGTTTTGTGAAAATGGCTCATAGAGTTGTATCCTCATCACTGTTTAGGACTGTTTTGCTATTCACTCGCCCAGTTCAGAGTTGAGGGTAGATGGGGCATGACAGTACCCGTGGCCTTATTTAATGAGTAGCCGCGATCCGCGTAGCGGTATGACCGTATGTGTTCTGCGATGGAGAGCGCTAACCTGGTAGGAAAACCGCCGCATCCTCAATCACTGATGCTGATCGTCTTAGATCGCTTAACTGGGCTCACCTTATTCACGGCGGACGATCCCTTATCCTCGATATGGAGACACCCGGTAGCATGCAGCTCCAATTACGGGTGATCAAACACGTCAACTTTTGTTCCCATTGACCATTGTTGGATTCACGAAACTGTCCACATACGATCACGACCACACAGTATGGTGCTGGGGTGATGGTCTGGTCGCTATCACTGGCGTGCTTTGAACTCTATAGTCCGAGGGTCGAACCTTGCCACCGCCATCCAATTTAGATAGGCTGCTTTGATGGCGTTTGGTTTAATACAACTCCTGACCTAACGGGGCCTTATGTGGTTCGGTACTCCAAGTCCCGAGGCTTACTTTACCGGTTTCCATCGATGAACAGCACGTCTTCGCGCCTGTGGGGTCCAGTCCATCAGCTATTCATCGCGTAAGTAAGTCATCAAGAAAAACGACGGAACCACCGACTAAAACTGAGTGATGTACCTTCAACATATGAACCAGATACTTTTGGCGCACTTCTACTTCGGCAATTTCTCGTGATTATTGCGAAATTTGGTGTTCCCATCCATTGTTCTACCACCATATTGAGCTCCTATGCATATTTACACGTTGGCTTTAAAAAATTATTTTATCCCAGATAATGTGCCTGAAGGATGCAGAGTGCTTTTAGCGCACCCTCTCGTGACTATATGGTTAAAAATGCTTGATGAATAAGTGCAACGGCGTTTCTTGTTCAAAGCTAAATACTATCATTCTGATATATTGACAACAAAATGTCGGGATGTTCCAACATCCAATTTCTGCTACCAGCCTTCATTTGGGCATGATGTTCCATTTGCATGGACTCCTCTCCCCAATGTACTCAAAGCATTTTCAGTGATTTTCAAATCACAGCTGAACAGATAAATCGGCACTCCTGATATTTCCTGATGTAGTATGCCGGACCGACCTCAGTTCTGAATTCCCTCGAAATACACTGACAGATTGATTCCGGGCAATGCAGTCCGAATTTTTATACAATTAGCGTCTTCCCAAAAAGGCCGCACACAATCCCTGACCACTCACGGGCACTCAGTACACATGTAGGATACACTCCTCACCGGAGGTTCTCCGTGGAGGGGGTTCTCAGACAACTTACAAGATAGGGAAGATACAAAAGTAGCCATGAACCGAAAGGTCCAGTGAGACATGCACACTCTTCCCGATCCAATCGAAATGGCTGTGCCCGTATCTTCACTACACTGATACAGTGACTGCATTGTAGAGTGCTGTTGCTTCACTGACTTAGCATAGAATTTCCCAATCTTTAGGAATTCTCGGGATGACGAAGTCATTGGAAGTTCTGATTTATAAATCAACTTTCTTCGAATGCTGCCAGCCGTCAAAAATGGCGCATACAGGACGCAATTAATTTTCTTACAATAGATGTGCACCTATGAACAAGGGTTACATCCTTTTGCATCTAAAATCACAGGTTGCCTGAAGCTGATTAGGCTACTCGAGTCAATTAAGCTTGTAAGCACAACCTGAGTTGAACATAGATCCTCCTCTAGTTTCTTGTTGCTTGGGTTTTTAATTCGTGTTTCCTTCGGATTAGCCATTCGGTCGACTAACTTTTCTCTCTCTCTCTATTTCGCTCTTTGCACTGCTAATTCCCGTGCCTTAAACGGAAACGCGTGCATTCGTTTACAGCTGATCATTCAAATCCCGATGTTCACCATTTTCAAGAAAGCGATTGTTGGTTCCCCGAGTTCCGTGAAAGCTCGCGCATTAATCTATGCGCATTTGGAACGTATTGACCTGCCCGCCAAAACATTGTATTGGGGTGAGTCCGATATTTTTGTACCTTAGTCCTTGTGGGCATAGTTGTCTCGCCTTTCAAATGATCACTTTAGTCACTTTGAAACAGAAATTTCTGCAAATTTCTGTACATTGTCAGAATAGATTGTTGTAGCAGTGCGGCATGTCAAACGATTTACCAAGTGTTTGTCGTTTGTTTGGAGATCTTGTGCTGGATAGTGTTGTCATAGGCAACCACCTCATTCTGAGATGCGTACCAGAGCTGTCACGGAGGGGGAAAGGACTGGGAAAACAACGAAATCACATTGTCTTGTTTCGGAATTAAGCGTGACCAGGTAAGCCAGTCTGTCTATCCCTTCACAGAAGTATCTGACGTCATTCGTAGCGTTCACCGTAATAATTACGGTTAATGAGAACAAAAGCCGGAGTTCATATCGATGAATTATCTGGATATGTGAAGCCAAAAGATAAATGTTTGAGTCATTTGCTAGTGCTGTTTTTCGGCGGGTCACGTAATCTGTGTAAACCCACACGGGAAATTCTAATTTTTTGACAAACAAATCTACAAAAAGGAAGGGAAAATTGACTATTTGACAGGGTTATTCACCATTTCACGCTAGGTTGGTCTGGTTTTGGCCAAAGGATCAATTCTTTATTATTTATTCTGTTTTAACCCTATGAAACTATGCAAAGTTTATTCCGCTGCCACCTAGGTGCTCTGATATGAACGTGACTGAAGGTTTGTCCAGTAGGCTCCAAAGAGGCGTGGTTATATTCGCGTCTGTCCTCACATTACATGTCTTTATCACATTAGTAATGAAAAATCGCATAACCACAGTTTACATCGCAAACGCGTTGGGCTCGGCTCCTTAGTGGTCGGATAACGCAATTCACATTGGAGAAGAATGAACCGATTATCGGCTCATTTGCACTTTCTTTAGTACACATTACGTAACTTGTGTGTTTATGAGTAAATCATTTGAGAGACTACATTTTCTCACCTCACAGTTGATTTCTATGCTGTCGAATGTTTACTTTTTCCTGATCGAATGTTTGCCTATCTCAGCTGCTTCTAAGGATTACTTCAATTGTCCATCATCAGTCATCACAAAAAAGCAATGATGGTAACAATGAGTTTTCTGCTGTTATGTATTTTCGTCTTAGTGAGATCGCCGACAGCATAATATCTAACGATTTTTTGTACAGATCTGCATATGTGTAAATTTAACGAGTATGATCTGTTTTCTTCCCATAACATTTCTATTCGATGTGCTCTTGGATTCATTTTGTTTTGGCCGGTTTGCTCTATTGTTTCTGACGCACAACGGCCCGAATGCTGCTAGACAGTATTCATTTATTTGATATTGTGTTGTGTAAAATATCCCAATAACTATTTCCCATTTCTCTGTTATTTTTGGGTAGATAAACAGTACATCATTAAAAATTCACCGCGACTGATTGACGAGATGATCAACAGTTTGCTTTACGTTCTTGCTGTGGCCACAGATGAAGGTGTGTTTCGCTTGCTGTTCACAGTCAGTATATTCAGTTCATGTCCATCATATTGCATTGAAAGTCATTTGTTTTTTGCTTATCGTTCGATTATGTTCATTCCGTCGTTTAGACTTAAATGCTCTGTTTCATGGGTGATTCGGAGCGGCGGTGGTCAAGCAGTTAAGGTCATCAACTTGTCGCCTCAGATGTTCTGTGTTTGACCACCACCGCCACCACCACCTCACTACATCTATTTACGTTTGCCGTATCGTAACCCTTTGATTGACCGCTTTCCCCTTCGTGAAGATCATACCAATATATATTCGGTAAAATACAGTAAAGGAATAGAAAAACAAAGAAAATTAGTAGTATCGCAGTTTTATTTTTTAACCTAAGGTAACTGACATGAAACTCAACCATCATTATAGAAACGGATGTATAACTTTCTATCCTACGCAGTCCTTTGGTTCACGGCCTTGAACATTAACCACTCTGAGTCTAGGATCCTCGGTGGCTTTCTTTCTCTGAAGTCCATGTTTGAAAGAAGAACTGTTCTAGCCGTTTCGAAGTCTAACGAGAGATGTTTGATGTGAATTTCCCCTCTTTCAAGTATGGAGTACAAATCCCTTGAACTGCTGTCCGATGCGTTCTTACTTACGTCTGTGAAACCTGGTCACAAGCGAGGCTTTTTATCCTTAGTGCATCCGATTCTTCCTGAACGTAGCGACAAGAATGAGTTTCCGACGACAGTTCAGCCATGTCTGACGACCTGCAAAGACAGTGGTTCCCAACAATACCAGTTACAGGTTAACACTGCCGCTTTAGCTATCAATTTAGGACCTCACAAGGTCTAGCTAGATGTAGATCTTCAGAGTATCTATCGTCTACGAAAATGAAATAAAAATTGAGTCTCTGTCTATTTGAACTTTGCAGAAAACTGCCATACTGGGGCAGTCACAATCGGAGATATCAATAGACTCGAATTATCCTTATTCAGAAGATAGCTGCGTGAAAATAAAAGTAATGGTGTTGGAGTTGGTGTGTCCTCCGAGTTGAAGAACACGCCAACACTAACATCCACATCCTGATCTACAAGTATTCCACATTATATCCAAAATTAATAGTATTGTACCATATCCGACTAGTTGAGTACGTGCTGCATGTATCCACGCATTGTCTTTGCTACAGATGACCAGTTACAATTAGATGCCCCCACTGTGACTAATTCGCGATTCAGTATAGAAACAGCAAAACTCGACGTTCACCCTAGCCTCAATCAGTTCTTTCTGAACGATCATTCAGACTGGTCAAACAGATTCCTAATGTTGCCGGTGCGCTCAGGACCACGATCAGCGGCGGGAATATTATGCAATTCGACAGATACATGTCTTCTTTGTCACAACTGAGTAAACACTTCATGAAACCTCAAACGATATGTTGTGCGAATGGCAAACTGAAGTACAATTCACATTTGCTGTTCTCTCATTCGCCCTGGTAACGTATCTCGCCTAAAACAAAATTTAGTTAGTTTCACTTGAGAACTGCAGGTTGTGATGAGGTTTTTAAAGAAAAAAATATTTGTATCTAGTCCATGTTCTCTATATATACCAAATTTTGCAGCTCTGCCCTCCTTCGGACACCTGAAGTCCCATGGACAGAAAACATCGTTTCTTTTAACGAACTTTTTCCACTACTTGGGAATGGCGCATAAAATAATCGTTGATTTTTTATTTGAGATAAGCCTTCCCCGAGATTAATTTCAAAGGAAAAGACCATATGGCAATACTGCACGATTTATGTCCAGGACGATTTCGCTGCATCTCAACTTGGTGCATACTGCAGAAAATACGATGTTTATATAGGGCTTCAGCATAGCAACAAAGTAAAGCAAAATACATTAAAAACAGACAAAACGTAAAAGAGGGAAGGGTAAAAGGACCAATATCACCAGGGTACGGAGAGACTAACATAAATTTTTCTTTGCTGAC